GACCCTCCGACAGCGCCCGCTCCCTCGGCGCTGACCCTCCGACAGCGCCCTGCTCCCTCAGCGCTGACCCTCCGACAGCGCCCCGCTCCCTCAGCGCCGTCCCGCCGACTGTGTGGCTCTTGTATAATTTTTGCACGTTTTTTTGGAGAGGGGATGGGAACAGGGAAAGGATTTTTTTGAAAACCGACACTTGCTCTTTTCCAACGCAATTTCCCACGCCCTCATTGCTGGCACAGTTTACACAGCTGCTTGCGCGAACCACTAGGGGCGCTGCAGACGAGCCACAGGCGCGGTGATGTTGCAAAGGGACATTCAGCCGTCCTCAAGTATCCGATTGGTCCATGGAATGGCGACCGATGACTCCTGCCAGCCGACAAGGATGCGATTGGCTCCCGGGTCGCTGAAGAGCTTGTGGGCGCAAACGATATGGCCAGGAGCCCACAGACATTCAGAAAGGGACGTGTTGTCTCTCTCTCTCTCTCACTCTCTAAAATTTCTAAAGCCTCAACCGAGCCGCAGTTTTTTCTTCCCCCTTCTCTTAGGCTTTCAACCGGAAAGTAAGAAATGGCGTCTCGAAGACAAGAAAGGTCGCGAGATTCCGTGGAAATCTTTGACCGTCAAAAGATTGGGGATCGGGAAGACGGTCGGGAAGTTGGAGGAGCCCTGACTCCTTCTCCCCCAGTGAAGCCCAGCGGAGCGCTAACTGAGGCCCAGGCTCTGTTGGAGCTGCTAGGCTCCAGGTGGGAGAGGTCCAAGGTCGGCGACCAGTGAGGGAACTTTACTATCGCAAATAAAAGACCTCCAGGAACCATCTGAAGCTTTTCCAAATTTCTTTATTGAGAAAATAGACATTTCGATAAATACAGAGGAGGCAGAGAGACTTAAATTAAACAATAAATATCGCCTTAAATAATGAGATAAATTATTCCCTTTGCCCGTAGGGGATCCTAGGAGATAAAAATATAATTCTATAAACGGTTGGGGGAGAGGGTGAAGGAGAAAATGGAAGACGGTAGCCCCCAGGATGTTGCTACTGGGGGGGATTCAGTTATGGTAACGCCATTGAACGTCAAGGAGGGGGTTGGTTAAGGAGGGGTTACAGCTTCAGAAAGAGGGGTCTCCCATCGTAGACTGGGTGGGGAACGCTGAAGGCTCTAACACGACGACCCCCGGGCGGTGCAGGTCAAGTGTTCGTTCAAGAGTTGTATCAGGCCCAGAACAACATGATTCACTAAAGCCTCAGGACTGTTCTATAGCAGGGGAGGGAAAGAGAGAGAGAGAGAGAGTTACTCATTCACACATAGAACATGCTGCACAGGACGAGTCTCAACTGGACTCTGCTGCCTACTACTGGAATCTACCGGACTGTGCTTGGCTCTACTGGACTGTGCTGGTCTATATGGGAGTGTACTGGGCTGTGTCTTGACTGTAACGGGATGTGCAGGCCTCTGCTGGGCCGAAATGGGCTCTGCAGGACAGTGCGGGACTGAAATGGGATCTACAGGACTGTAATGGTGTCTACGGGGCTGTAATGGGATCCACAGGGCTGTAATGGGATCCACAGGGCTGTAATGGGGTCTACAAGACTGTAATGGGAGGCACGGGACTGTAATGGGACTTACGAGGCTGTAATAGGATCTCCAGGACTGTGATGGGATCTATGGGGGTGTAATGAGGTGTACAGGGCTGTAATGGTATCCACAGGGCTGTAATGGGATCCACAGGGCTGTAATGGATCCACAGGGCTGTAATGGGATGTACTAGATTGTAATGTGATGTGCTGGGCTGGAATGGAATCTACAGGACTGTAATGGTGTCCACAGGGCTGTAATGGGATCTACAGGGCTGTAATGGGATGTACTGGATTGTAATGGAATGTGCTGGACTGCAATGGGATCTACAGGACTGTGATGGTGTCTACAGGGCTGTAATGGAATGTATGGGATTGTAATGGGATGGGCCGGACTGTAATGGGATCTACAGGGCTGTAATGGGGTGTACTGGATTGTACTGGGACGTGCTGGAATGTAATGGGATTAACAGGGCTGTAATCAGATCCACAGGGCTCTAATGGGATCTACAGGACTGTAATGGGATCTACAGGGCTGTAGTGGGATCTACAGGGGTGTAATGGGATCTACAGGGCTGCAATGAGATGTACTGGTTTGGGCAGGACCGTACTGGCTCAGTCCACTTCCCACTGTCACTTCACGGTCCCATTTTAACCTGGTCTTCATGTGTATCGGCTATTGCCCCTCAGCACAGGTCGTTGATAAAACTTAGTTCTAGTCCCGTTACCCACCTCCCCCCAACAACCTCCCCCCCCCCCCCCCCCCCCGCCCCCACCACCCTGCCCCAACCCCCGGGTCTCCCAAAGGCGCACAGAGAATTTAAAAATCACCTTCAGATCTTTGAGCGCTTGTAAGTAAAGGGTCAACTGTTTAGAATATCCTCCTCTGCTTAACCCATCTTCCAGGACCTGAGAAAGAACAGATACAGAGAGTTAGAGAGGGAGGGAGACTGAAAGAGAGAGAAAGACGGATAGAGAGACAGAGAGAGAGAGAGGGAGAAAGACACAGAGAGAGAGAGAGAAAGACACAGAGAGAGAGAGAGAGAAAGACACAGAGAGAGAGAGAAAGACAGAGAGAGAGAACGAGAGAATGTGAGGGTAAGGGAAGAGAGAGAGACAAAGAGACATGGAGAGAAAATGAATGAGATAGAGTTGGAGAGAGAGAGGGAAAAGGAAGGAGGTTAACAAAGGAGCTGCACACGGGACATGAAACATTGACTCACGCTCTCTGTCTCTCACACACACACCCACACACAGACACACTCACTCACACACTCTCACACACTCACACTCTCACACACACTCTCTCACACACACACTCTCTGTCTTACACACACACACACTCACACACACAGACACACACACACACTCTCTCTCACAAACACACACACGCGCGCACACACTCACACACACACACACACACACACTCACACAGACACACAGACACACTCACACACAGACACACATACTTACACACTCATACAGCTTGATGGTAGCAAACAGCAATGTGTTCCTCGCTTTCCTCCCCATGGCACCGAGCGTCTGCTCAGTCATGTTCCCCAGGACCGAGCTGAACCAGTCCATCTCTGTCCAGACCAAAACCTTCCTCTCAGGGACCTGCAGGCAGGGAGAGAGGGAGTTAGAGCGCACCGCAGTGGGAGAGAGGGAGAGGGGGACTGAGGGTTAGAGTGCACGGTGGGGGAGACTGGGGGGAAGAGAGAAGGAGAGGGGGAGGGAGGGAGGGGAGGAGGGAGAGAGAGATGGGGGGAGATAGAGAACGGGAGAGGAGGAGAGAGGGACTGAGTGAGAGAGAGAGAGGGGGGAAAAGGGGCGTAGAGGGAGAGGGTGGGAGCGAATGGAAGAGGGGGAGAGAGGGATGGAGGGAGAGAGAGAAAGGGAGAAAGAGGAGGGTAGAGGAACAGGGGGAGAGAGAATGGG